ATCCTCTATCTTCTATTCCCTGTTTCATTTTCCTTGTTTCAGAAACAGTGTACCATTATTTCTTCGGACTTTGTGTGTAGTGACTCTTAGACTATTTGTGACACCGTGACACCAGGTTTAGGGTAGTTAAGGCACGAGTAATTTTAAAAGACATAGATTCCAGATATTTCATTATTTTCTTCCGCTTAATTTAAATTTCTGCTGTTTATACGTTATCGCTTTGGGTTTGATAAAAAGGAATAAATGGATAATGAAGTAATTAGTTTTAAAGATATTGCTTCCAGCAATCTGCATGGAGCCAACAGCTGGAGGGGACAATGAAAAATCCTCAATTTCATCTTGTCTAAGATGCTCCATTGTGTCATGAACTGCAAGTTAAGCGTTGCTCTATCCTGTTTAATGGTGTTGGACAAAGTTCATTGTTATATATGGTGGATAAGATAAAACAGATGACCAACCTACAATAAGAAAGACGAAAACGGAATTAGGAATTCCATTCTCTAAGACGAACTAAAGGAATGTCTCTAAGCAGCCAAGGCCAAGAGCAAGCAGGAGTTGTCCTATCTGCCTAGAAAGATTCGATAAAGAAAATGTGAGTGGGAAACGTAGTTAGCAGAGGTCAGTCTGTCTGGCGTTTCCTCGCGTAAAGGACTACTTTTGCATCGGCTCTCTCTCGTTAGGTAATTACCGAGGCGAAAGCAGCTCTCTCGGAAGTAAGTTTCCTCGCCATCTTAGTGGGACTAGCCTAAAAAACTTTCACTTACTCGGTTTTTTTGCGGGAAGGCCCTTCTAGAATTACGTTTAACGTCCCTTTATGACTTTCCCGATCGGCGCCTCGGGTCGGTAGCTGGGCTCCGGGGCATTACTACCACGGCTACTATCGACCCGAGCCCAAAGAAGGAAAAGAACGGACTAAAGCGAGGAGTTCATTAGCCATACATAGTTAAGGAGGATGGGGGTCAACCTCTTTCATGACCCATGGCCCCAGTGTGTCACTTGGTTAGCATTTGTAGAACAAAATAAGTAGGGCTGGTTTTTCGCTGCGGTAATACTGACTCTCCTGGTCAATAGGGCTATTCAAACCAATCCCCCCTTTCTGTTTGCAATTACCGCTGCAGAATAGTCATTTTTGATACTTGGTTGGCAGGGTCAGGGCCTTTCTCACTGGGCGAGCTAATCCGTATTATTCTATGTCAATGTGACCTTAACGGCCTTTATTTTAAGCAATTATTCGCTCCAAGACGCACGACAAGACCTTCGATCTCTCTCTCTCCATAATTGATATGGAAGTTGGAAAAAATCAACCACTCAAAGCTGACCTCAAAATGTTCCAAACACGCATAAGTGTGAAGATTGAAGACCTTCTTTTCTATATTTCATATAGTTGATTAGTACAAAAGAAAAGGGCACTGGTTCACGCATTACGGGTAGATTCCTCTTACCTAAGAAATGGAAGGGGGCACTTCACCGAATGATAGGTAAAGTATGGGACGTTCAGTAAACAATCCCTTAGCTCAAGTCCTCGGAGATACCCAAGGCAGCTCCCCGTGTCCTTTATACCCAACAGGACAAGAGTATACAGGTCCGCCAGGGGCGAATAAGAGCTCGTCGAACCGTCATTCTTTACTTCCGGGGTCAATCAATCGGTAGTCCTCCAATTTATTCTCGAAAGCCTGTTTATAAGAAATAGCTTATGCCACTCGTATTGCCCCGGATTGACAAAAGAGGCTTGGATTGGAGATTCTTGTGTAAACATTCAAGTTGACAATCGGCTTTCTAGACAGCCAGTGGACTCTGAAACCAATACCAATGATTTCGCTGGATCTAAGAATAACGTAGCACAGAAAACCGGACTCACCAAGGATGGCGAATGGGCAATACGTAGAGGTTGCTCCGCTTCCTATGGATTGTTTTATAGCGGTACGATTACGATGCTTGCTCCGAATGGAAGAGAGACGGCTTTCCTTTCGGATGTTGCAAACGCACAAACGAAACACCTTAGTCAGCGGAAGAAGTCACTCTCAATCCGATCTAGCAAGAAATGCTTTACCGGTAAAGTAAAGCGAGAGACAGTCGATCCTTTCTTAGGGTTCCAAGTAATTCAACCAGTGCCAAGAAAAGTATCCGGTTGTAGAGCGAGGCAGCAGAGGGGAGTTGGCACAATATGTAATCCCTAGGGTATCGGTGTCGGAGAAGGCCTTGAAGTAGACTATTTCTCGAGTCTGATCTTATCCCCAAAGCCTTTTTGCAAAAGGAGTAGGTAGCGAGATAGATGACTAAAAGCTGATGATCTTTGCCTCTTACTAGTAAAGGGAAAAGCCCTATATATCTTATTAGTCAAGCCTAAAGGCCCTTTACTAATATAATAGAAGGTAAGACCGGCTTTCGCGCAGCAGCTGCGCCCTTGCTTCTTGCCCATAGAGAGTTAGGATATTTTGTGAGCTCCTTCGCCTAGCGGAAACCTCCGCTTTTCGGCCGTAGTCCCGTGCTTTACCAACGCATTAATTGGCTTGCCTAGCTCACATTAGTAAGCGCCATCGTAACTCCCAAGGGTGGGAAATCCGGGTCGTGACAAAATCACAAAGAAGACCACTGCTGGTCGAGGGAGAGGTAGAGACCTCTCAAGGTCTAGCTCTTATGCCCCGTATATGGAGGCCATCGGGGGAAATTCTGTATCTTTATCGGAGGATTAGGGGTTTGGGTAGAATTTAGGGATTTTACAAGATTGAGATTTAGACTGCAAATTGAGGTCGAATTACAATACAAATTATATAACCGGACTCGAAGTGAATGGGTAATCGAATTTTGGTTCGAACCTCTGATTTCGGCCAAGCAATGTCGGGGTTGACTATTGTTGACTTTTTCAATTACGATCAAAATGAAACCTTTTCCATTCGTGAGGAGTTTGTAAAGCTTATTTTCAATTGTTTAGATGATGTTTGGCTAGATTTTGTCGATTTGGAGGGTTGTTCGAGGAAAAGCCCTGGTTCAATACTCATTTGGCAACAGAAAGAGGTAAGTATCATGTCTAACTTTGACTTGAGAAAATTAGGATTCATTGGTCTATTTGTTACGTGAATTATGTGTTGGAATGGCGTATATCCGAGGTGATGAGTATATATAGGATTTCATGGGTATAGCATGTGGGAGGGCTATTTACCTTTATGTCATAACTTATTCCATGTTGTCTCTTGTAACATGCTTTGATTGCTATATTTTCTTACTTGTTGTCCATACCTTACTTGCTATCTGTTATTTAATTATTACTTGTTTTGATTTATTCATTTTTCGCTTAATATCAACTTACCTGCTATATGTTCCTACCTGTATTAATCGTAGCTTCATGTTTAACATGCATTTATTGTCTTTACATTGCTTGTTGCACTTTATTATGTTATTTCGATTTCTGTGAGTTATATAGCTATTCTTTTAATGATGATTTGTAGAGAATTATGAATTCGAGGTATTTGTTGTCCTCGGTTTGTACCCTTAGTTCCTTCATGTTATATACGTTGTATTTTATTTCATGTTGAGATTACATTATTGATGTTGAGTTGATCATGTTAATGAGGTCATGTTGGGATCTTGTTGAACGCCTCATCATTATTAAACTTATTAAACTTAATTGGTAATGATAACAGGTTTCATGCTGCAATAGATATAAATATGATGGGATTGGATTGCAAGCCACAAAAGATATTGTGAAATGATATTTAGATCGGATTGCACGCTGCAACAGATATTGTAATAAATCTTGATATTGGGTTGCGTACTTGCAACATCGTATGATGTGTTACAGATGCATGTAGCCGTGCTCTTTTACCCTGTACTGTTATATGATGTTTGAGTTGATGATTATTCTTGGGCCCTTTGTTACTTGACCTTCGGGTCCCATACTTATGAGTGTACTACTTAGCTATATTTTAGTATTCTGTTATTATTATTACTCGTACAACTTTATAGAGAGTGTCATGTCCTGGCCTCGTCACTACTTCGTCGAAGTTAGGCTTGACACGTACAAAGTACATGGGTCAGTTATACTCATACTACACTTCTGCACTTCTTGTCTAGATATCGAAGTGTGTCTTAGTGGTGCATAGAGGACTTCGCTCGGATCTGAATAATATAGGAGACATGAAATAGAGTTGGTCGGCGTTCACAATTCCTTAAGTCCCCTTCAATAATTTCTTTTATTGTTATTCTAGTTCCAAAACATTATATTTCTTTTAGACCATATTTCTAGTATTCTAGTTACTCATGTACTGGTGACACCAGACTTTTGAAATTAGTTTAGACCATTGCATTTATATGTATTTCAGTTTTTACCAATCGTTTATTATTATTATTATTATTATTATTATTATTATTATTATTATTATTGTTGTTGTTGTTATTATTATTAATATTAATATTATTATTAATATTAATATTATTATTATTATTATTATTATTATTATTATTATTGTTGTTGTTGTTGTTGTTGTTGTTGTTGTTGTTGTTGTTGTTGTTGTTGTTCTACTTTCAAAACTATTAAAAATAGTTGAATAATGTGCTAACGTTGGCTGTAACGACCCGCTGGTCGTTTTGCTTTCTAGAATTTTGTTCCCCTAAATAAGACTATTGTACTTACTTTTACTGATTTATGACTAGCGGGAATGGTTAGTTCAGGATTTGAAAGAGTCTTGATTGAAATCGGAACACTTCGTTCCTTAAGGTTGGCCTGAAAGACTAAGTTTGACTTCGGTCAGCATTTTTAGTAAACGACCAAGAAATCGGGATTTGACTATAATCTTTTGTTATAGCCCCTGAGGGTACTGCTACAGTAACGAATTCTTATTACATATTGTAACGGCTATTGTGAGCTATTGCAACGGCTATTCTTTTATATATTTGATTTTAAATAAATGATTTATCTACATGATATAATATAATACACCGACATTATTACAACCCACGAAAGGAAGCTATTTATCAACCAAAATAATCAAAAATTTCCTACTACTATTATCCATATATAAAATAAAAATAATTACAACATTGTTTCACAATCAAGAGTTTACATATATTGAAAAGGATTCAAAAATGATGGATTGCTAGAAAATCTAATGGAACAACAATCTGTTAATACTCTTAAATAAGATTCCCATTGTTTTTGGCTACTGTCGGGTCATTTTTGTCACCTACAAAAGATGATAAATAAATAAATCAGCAAGTAATTCAAAAAAGAATATATTTTCAATTAATAGACTAATATAGCGACTCACCGTAAGGTAGAATGTACGTTAAGTGGGCACAACCAGAATTCAAATCTTGTCCATATTATTCTGAGTGATAAATGAGATATTCTCCATGGCACCATGTATTGTTCTGACCCTTCTTATTTCAACATAGTGGAAAGATAAGCTACTATTATTAGCAAGAAGGGTCAGAACAAAGCTAAAATCAACAAGAACAAGGGGAAACAAACTGCAACAGAACTTGAAAATGAGCAGTACACTTTGAAGTAATTAATAGAACAAAGAAACAAGAGAAAGAAAGAGCATCATATTTCGGAAATGGATTGAAGTTAATCAAGCTCACACTGGTTCTAACATCGTTTTGTTAATGAACAGACCTAGAACTGCACATTAAGAAAAATGAGGCCAATAGGAAGAACAGGTGAAGAGTAAACATCTAAAACTAATTCCAGTAGGCATCGGCTTATCATTATTTCTGATCATAAGCCTAAACTCATGTTTAAGACAGGAACTATACAAGGCAAATTTAACAAATCTACATATCAGCTTGAGAGAGGACATAAATATTTTACAGAATTGGCAATACTAGGGAAAAAACAGACAGAAAAGACAAAAGTTGCAATCATCGACCAATGTTTTCTCAAATTCAAGACTAAGATAGATAACAACTACCTATTAGCAAAATTAGCCTCGGTCAAATTTCTCCTCATTTATGTTTCTTCTGTACATATCCACCTGTAAGAAGAGAAAAATCGAGATATCAATTTGAAAGCACATAAAGTCATTCCAACATAACATCAACTCTTCCTAAAGAAGCGAAAGTAATACAAATAGTTCTTGACTCATGTATTTAATTTTTAGCATGTCCATTTTACGCACTTGAGAAGAAACTAATTTTAATCTTTTGAGGGACAAACCTTGTGTATGAGAATAAAAAATAAACGATATTACAAGCACAAGTGAAAGTCACTCTATCTGAATCAACATATAACAACAACAGAGCCCTACACAACCAAAGTAATAGATATACATTGGCAATATCCATATACTTTACTCCTAACTTTAGAAATACTTAGGGTTTCAAACTTAAATTCACAAGGAAGCCGTTGAGTATCAAAGTTCAGACTTTATTGACCAAAAACAAAATAATTCATAAAGATAAAACTATTTTCTACTGAAAACAGTGTGATAAATAACTGCAACTCATAAAGATAAAACTAACAACTCATCATGAGTGTGAACACGTCCAACTTTCTCTGTCATTGCAATCACTGCAAACAAAGTAAATCTCTTAAGGCTACATAAGTTACAATCAACCACTAGACATACGGTGTGATACTAGCTGAACTCTACGAATTCCACTCTAGATTTCCCATACATACCAGCTCCGACGATATAACCAATAACTTCCTCGCCACAAATTAAACGCAGTCAGAAACATACAATTGTGGACAAAAAAGTTAAAAAATATGCTACACTATACTTTACCAGTTTTAAATGTAAATTCTGGTGAGATAATCATCAATATTAAATTATAGAAAAGAAAATAACAAATTAAACACTGAGATACAAAAAGCAGATGATCATATATAACATTATAAATGGAAAACAAAATAATATCTTCCTAAGTGTAATTTCTCGTTGTGAAATAAGAAAATAGCAATGAAAACACATGCAAACATCAAACTTTTAGAATCACAAATTATAAGCTCCTAATAGCTTCAAATTTACGGGGTAGAATAAATTTAGCACCTTTATGGTGTTAATAGTACGACAAGCAAATTTATAGGATGAAAATATTTAAGCCAATTAAGATTTTAAAATATTGCACAAATCTACATTTAATTTCCTATCTTGGGAACATTTAAAATCAAGAGAGATAAGGGGATGTGTGTGGCATATTCTTTTACGAGACATCAGCTGGAAAAGAATATATTTCCATCAATGTTTAGCTCTTTGAATCTTTTCTTATTGACTATAACATAATTTTTTTAATGAAATATAACTGAATGATCTTATAATCTCTTTATGACTTATAAGTTAAAAAAGAATCACCTAATGCAGGAGAAAATGGCAAGAAAACTACTTTAAAAAAAAGTTTTTTTGAAGTTTAAACTATACATGACATGAATCCTTAGAAATGTTAACCCAGTTTTGAAACGAGCAACACAACTCAACTAGAGTAACAAGATGATGTAAGAGAATTTTAAACGCTAAATATTTATCACCAAGTTCACTTCCCCTGATGTCTAAGGTCACAAGAGTTTCTCACGGATAGCTTGCTACCACTATTGCACCAGCAATCTGCCAATTGCCACAGAGAATACTCAACTAAATTCAGTTCGACTCATCATGTACAACAATTTGGAGACAACACGACCAGTAAGTTTTAATGTTGAAAGCAATTATTAACGGTAATTATTTGATGCCTCAAGGTCCATCAACAATAATGTTGATACAACCATTGAGTATCTTCAACTCCTGTCATAATATCAGGTTCTCCCCTTATCCCCATATAGTTTCACTAACTAAATAGAACACATAACAAAACGACAGACACCACAAGTTTAAATACCTCCCGCCTGAGAACAATGCACACCACACAATGGACTAAACCAAATATAGCCTAAGTGCAAAAATATTATCCAGGGACATTAATAGTGACTAACTCTTGCAACAAAGAAGATGAATGTGAAAAGCATACTTGCTACTGTTAGGCTGGCATTGTATCGAACATTGCAGGTACATGACATACTCGACTAAGCTCAATTTTAACCCCCAACAAATGAGCAACTCGCTTATTGCAATATCAAAATCGATAGCATAACAAAGTATAGTTAAAAACCTATTTACCCACATAATTACACCCTCAAAATCTAATATTGACCTAGAGATACGTTCACCCATGAGAAATTTTTAAAAACTAGAATAAAAAAGAAGAAGCAATTAGTTGGATTTACCTTGAATCCGACCCACAATAAAGCAAATTAAGAAACCTCAAATATTTTGACCCACAATAGCGAAGAAAACTAATGTAGACCAAGCGAATGAAATTGGGAAAAGAACGTTATGTTACACTGCTTGAGGACTAACATTGGATGCCTTTAAAGCAAAAAAAAAAAAAAAATAGCTTTGCCGTGGAAGGTTAGGTCGTCTGGAGGCGTTTAATGAATGTTTTGCCGGACGATTTTTTGGGTTATCCCAAATTAATAAAGAAATTAAAATTAAAAATCTTACAGCGATGGTTTCTCCCCCAACTACCAGCGACAATATTCAGCAAGGAACAGATAGAGGAGATGGAAGAAACATTGGTTGAGTGTCCCTTTTTTGCTATTTCTTAGCGTCAACCTCTCGTCTTGCTCTTCCTTATTTCAAGTAGTATGAATGACCAAATCGAAACCCGAATTAAAAAATAATAGAAATCTCAATCGCGTCCAAATTGCCTGAATGCCAAATTGGTTCTCATCTTTTATTTATCAAATTTGGTTATGGGTTGAGGTTTAATTCCATAAAGAATCCTTCTTTTTTCCTTATAGGATCTGGGTATTCTCTGGGTTTATGTTTGCCGAGAGATAATGGGAGGTTAGAAATCAACTTGTTTATTTTTCCTAACTTATTGGTTAAAAGTTAATTAATTGGTATCGCATAAAAAATATTAACAAGTAATGAAAAAACATAGAATGTAAAGAAAGAGAGGTTTTGGCGGGTTTCACCAAAATTGAGAGTGGAAATTAAATTAGGAGGGAATTAATAACCGTTCCAATTGAATTCTTTTACCAAGATTCGTTGCAATAGATATATCTGTTGGAAAGGTTCAGATAAACGTTGCAACACCAGACACCAATCACAACGGTTCCCACTCAATTGCAACGGTTCTATAGTCAAAGTGTGCCGGTAGTACCCATTTCTTATTGTGAGGGTTACAACCTTTGCAATAACCCATCTATAGTAACGATTTTTAAACCGTTGCAAAAAAATCCGTTGCCATAGGCCCATTTTTTAGTGGTTATATTAATCCGTAATATGAGGTATAAACCCCACATTTTGTAAAAGAATGGAAAAGAATGACGGTGCTACAAAAGAGGAAGAAAGCTAACATCCGAGCCTCGCATTTTGTTTGAATAATATCAAGTTGGAGGATGGGTCTAAACCATCCATTAAACATCGAAGAAGACATAATAAAGAAATAAAAGAGGTGGTCAAAAAGAAGATTATCAAGTAGTTGGATGTCGGGGTTGTCTACCACATTTTCGATAGTTCATGGACCTCTCCAGTGTAATGTGTCTCTAAGAAGGGGCAGCATGACGATTTTTACAAATGAGAATAATGAGTTGATTCGTACATGAACGGTCATCGGTTGGAGAGTTTGTATGGATTATCGTAAGCTCAACAAGTCACAAGGAAGGATCACTTTCCTCTTCCATTTATTGATCAAATTCTTGATTGATTGGTTGGCCGTGCTTTCTATTATTTCTTGATGTGTACTCTGGTTACAATAAAATTCTTATTGCTCTGGAAGATCAAGAGAAAACCACTTTTAAATATCCATATGGTACTTTTTCTTTCAAATAGATACTTTTTGATTTGTACAATGCACCTGCGACTTTTCAACAGTGTATGATGGTTATTTTCAGGGACATGGTGGAAGACTACCTTGAGGTCCTTATGGATGACTTTTTTGTGGTTGGAGATTCTTTAGACGATTGTCTTGAAAACTTTGACAAAGTGTTGGCTAGATGTGAGGAAACAAATTTGGTACTTAATTGGGAGAAATGTCAATTCATGGGTGAGGAAGGCATTGTCCTTGGCTACAAGATTTCAAAGAATGATATTGAAGTGGACAAAGCAAAGATTGAAATTATTTCTAAGCTTCCACCCCCACCTTGGTAAAGAGCGTACGGAGATTCTTGGAGTATGCAGGTTTTTACCAACGTTTTATCAAGGATTTCTCTAAAGTGGTGAACCATTTGTGGAAGCTCCTTTAGAAGGATGCCAAGTTCCATTTCAATGATGATTGTATGAAAGATTTTGAACAATTGAAGATCAATTTGACAACTACTCCTGTCATTACCTCTCCAAATTGGCGTTTGCCGTTTAAGCATATGTGTGATGCAAGTGATGTAGCAGTTAGGGCAATTTTGTGGAACGTGTAAACAATGTTTTTAATCCGGTTTACTATGCTAGTAAGACCATGAATAGTTTCCAAGTAAACTCTACCATTACGGATATAGAGCTCATTGCTATTGTGTTTGCCATTAAGAATTGTTTCCTATACTTAATGGGTGCCAAAGTTATTGTCCACATGGATCATGCGTCACCTTGGTATCTTATGAGCAATAAGGAATCTAAAGCTCGGTTGGTGAGATGGGTGCTTTTGTTTCAAGAGTATGACATTGACATCCAAGAAACAAAAGGATGGGAAAATCAAGTGGCGAACCACCTATCACATTTCGAGGAAGAGGGGAGGCCGCATGAAGGCCTTGAAGTCAATGACTTTTTCCCCGATGAGCAAATATTGGCACTTTCAATGAATTAGGTACCGTGGTTCGCAATTTTGGAAAATTTTCTTTTGAGTTGTATCATCCTGGATGAGCTCTCTTCAAACCAAAGGAAGAAGCTCAAGAGGGATGTAAAGACTAATATTAGGACGAACAATAACTTTTCCGAATTTGCATAGATGGGGTGATTCTGATGTGTGTGATGGAGGAAGAACGAGGTACGATTCTTGGAGCTTGTCATTCTTTGCCATATAATGATCAACATGGTAGAGCGAGAATGGCGGCCAAAGTCCTAAGTTGCGTTATCTATTTGCCTACTCTCTAGAAGGAAGCAAATGAATTGTTGAAAATATGTGACGAATATAGACGGGCCGCTGGAATTTGAAAGAAACATGAGATGCCTCTTACAACCAACTTTGAGATTGATATTTTTGATGTTTCGGTATTGATTTTATGGGTTCTATTGGGAGTTCTGGTGGAAACACCTACATTTTTGTCGCGGTGGATTTTGTATCTAAATAGGGTGAGGTCGTTGCCTACCCATCAATGAAGGTAGAAGTGTGGTAGAGTTCTTGAAGAAGAATATTTTACAAGATTTTCTACTCCATGTGCAATCACAATCGATGGGTGACCACATTTTTGTAATAAATGTTTCGACGCTTTACTTAAAAAGTATGGTATTACTCACAAGGTCACGACTCCCTATCACCCTCAAGCTAGTGGTCAATTGGAAGTGTCCAACTAGGAGATAAAGAGTATTTTGTCCAAGATGGTGAATGAAAATATGAAGGATTGGTCCAAGAAGCTTTATGACACACCATGGGCATATCGGACGGCTTGAAAAACACCTATTAGAATGTCTCCATACCAGTTAGTGTTCGGGAAAGCTTGTCGTCTTCCATTAGAAGAGCAAAAGGCAATGTGGCCCTTCAAGAAGTTGAATATTTATTGGATGTAGCCGCTAACATGAAGGTTACACACTCGAGTGAATTGGAAGAGTTCTGATACCATGCTTATGAGAGATCGTCCTTGTATAAAGAAAAGATGAAATATCTTCATGACAAGTATATTTATAACAAGGATTTCAAGGCCGGTGATCTATTGTTATTGTTCAACGCAAGGTTGAGGATGTTTCCCTGGAAGCTTAAATCAAAGTGTTTGAAATTGTGGGTGTCACACCTTTCGGTGCATTAGACTTGAAGAACAAAACAATAAAATATTTCAAGTCAATGGTCACCAGGTAAAGCACTACTTGGGAAAAGTTGGAGAGATCCATGTGGTGATGGTTAGTTATTTCACTTGAAGATGCTATGACATTGCTTCATGCCACGACGTTAAATAAGGTGCTTCTTGGGAGGCAACCCAAGTTCTTTTCCTTTTTTCTACTCTTAGTTAGATGTTATTTGTTATTTTTTTAATTTGATTATAAGTGTGTTATAGAGATAAGTGTTAGATGTGAAATGGAAGACAAGGTTGTGTCATCAAGCCAGCAATGCGGACAACACTTTTTCTTTTTGCGGCCGCAGAAAAGAAATGTTGCCGCGAAAGCTTTTGTGTAGTTGCAGATTTCATCTGCCGACCGCACTTACAAGAGATGATCTTAGATGCCAAATGGAAGGTCCTCTAAAATTTTATTCCGTCAATGCAAAGCAATAGTGTAGACTTTCATAAATTTTGTAGTCGCAAAAGCACAACACCAGAGAGGTGTTATACATTATCAGAAGTTCAGCCACACTAAAAAAAATGTGGACCACACAACTGTGTTGCCCACTGAAGGCGAGGTAACAGATTGCGGCCCACACTTGAAATTGTGCGGCAGCACTCGCCTCTCTAACCCTCCATATTCTCTAAGTATTAATAGACCATTATCCTCCATTTTACACTTTTCACATTCTTCAATTTCACTGTTACTCTGAGAAACATTCTCGAGGAATTTGCACTGTCAATCAGGCACATCCATTTGTACTCACTTGGATCTTGGCACACTTACACTATCTGGTAAGCTTCACTTCATATTTTACTTTTTATTTTCAAATTTAATTTTCCTTTTTTACTTCATTTTAGGTCATCTGTTATTTCAATCCTTCAATGTAACCATTTGGGGTAGTGTAGTACTGAAAAATGATAAAGCATGTGTAGATTGGGTTAGGTTACTTGATTTGAATGTCTACACCAAGTTGCCAAATAGAATTGAATGAAATATTTTCATAATCTAGGTAAACATACATATCCCGTTTTTGTTCATGATTGTGTGGACCGCACTTAGAATTGTGCGGACCGTACTTGAAATTGTGTTATCCGCAGACTATCGTTTAGGTTAACTGGTTGGATTACTTTTTGTGTGGACCGCATATTTTGTTCTAAGGCCGCATATTTGATCCGCACTGATAATCGGAGACTTTCTCTCAGAGCATCTCAAGTGCGAACTGCACAGATAATTGGGGGGACCACAGTTGAATTATGTGCCCGCAGAAGGCCTCTACACTGTCAATCAGAGTGCACAACTATGCTGAAGTGTAGCCTGCATGTGGAATTGTGCTGTCAGCAGTTCCTTTATACGTACACTTCAAATATGTGTACGGAACTTTTCCCTTTTCTACTACATGATGTACTACCGAAACATCACTGATCTTATGATGTCCTCACATAGTTATATCATTCTTAACTCTTTGCAACTTGACTTTCAACTGGCAAGTTTTTTTTTTGCAGATACAGATTTTGTTACAATCACGAGGTCAAGGTATATCTACCAAAGGAAGAGGTGAATCTTCAAAGGGAGCCATGCACCCAAGTGTGCAGAAGGAAATCACAAAGAAGACCACTGCTGGTCGAGGGAGATGTAGAGACCTCTCAAGGTCTAGCTCTTATGCCCCGTATATAGAGGCCATCGAGGGAAATTCTGTATCTTTATCGAAGGACTAAGGGTTTGGGTAGAATTTAGGAATTATATAAGATTGAGATTTAGACCGCAAATTGAGGTCGAATTACAATGCAAATTATATAACC